GGTCAGGGCACAACCCACAGAGCCAGTCCTGCCTCACAACACTGAGCAGGTACCTGTGCCACCTCTCTCTGCCCACACATCTGAGACCACCCGAACCCCTCAACCAGCTCTCTGCAGCTGGATGTTACAAACTAGGTACAGCAGCATCAGGACAGCATGCCAGGTCCGTGCTGGCCAGTCACACGCTGCCTATTTCTGCCTCCCCCTGCCTGCCCTCAGCATGGGCAAGCTCACCATGGGAAAAGAGGTGGACAGGTGCTCATCCCTTGCCATGCCAGCAGGTCCCTCCTGTGCCAGTGTGTCACTGTGACTGGCAGGTGACAGGCTGCACACTGAGCTCCTGCTCTAGGTGCCAGGTGCTCTCTATGGCTTCTGGGCTTCTTACTGACCTTCTTCCCTGGCTGGCAGGACAAGTCCTTCACCTGCACACTCTTCATGCCCTTTGAGGAATTTGAGAAGCTCACGACAGGAGAGCAAGTGCTGGGTTTTTTCCAGACCTACTTCCCAGATGCCATCCCCCTCATCGGAGAGTAAGTGTTCCCATCTCCCCTTCTCACTAATCAACACATTGCCACAAAGCCAGGGGACACATCACCCAGCCTTGGGTCCTGGTGATGCAGTTGTGGTAGAGCCCCAGTGGGGACCCTCTCGCTGCTGAGCAAATGGCTCAAGGGAACCAGAGCATCCCATTCCTTCTGGGGGCCTTGGTGGCAATGGGATCAAGACCAGCCTTCCCAACACATGTTCTGATGGCTGTGGCTCTGTTCAGAGTGTCCCCATTTTCCTACAAAGCCTCCATAGCCAGTGGGAGCTCCAGCCCACACTACTAATGCTTCTGCTTTGCCACGCAGTTATCTGTTATGAAATTGACATTTTTTGGATGATACCAATGGTGTCAGCTGTGTTAGGCAGTTTCCATTTCCTCCTAAGGGCACTTACCACAGGACTTAACTTAGAAACTCAGATATTCTCTTATAGGTCCTTCTTACAGCATCTGACAACCACCACTGCTCATGGTAAGAGGACTGAGATGTTGATAGGCAAATTGTATGCAGAACTTAAAACCTGCAGACAAAATATTCTGTCCATAGGGGGGAAGTTAATGGGACAAGTTTTCTGGCTTCCACATTTTTCCCAGCACAAATAGCCTAGTGCATAGGCTCAGGTTTTGCATCCCAAAGCTGACAGTGCCAGTGGCCCTGGCCTCCTGAGCTTGGATGTGGCATGACTTCTTCTTCTCTCTTGTGGTCCCACAAGTGAAGTATCTGTTGTTTTGCCTGAAGGCGAGAGCTGAAGCACGATTACTTTTTGCTGCCAGCCCAGGCCATGATATCTGTGAAGTGCTCTTCCTACCATCTCGGCTCCCGGTGTGTGCTGATGGGAGATGCTGCGCATGCCGTTGTGCCCTTCTATGGACAGGGCATGAATGCAGTAAGTTCATGGCTGGCCCTAGGCCATATTAGTGGAGTCCCCACTGCTTTCACCCACAAATTCCTGGTCTTATCATGTAGGTCCATAGAGTTCATGGGCTGGCCTGTCCCACAGCCTGATGTCCTCTGCATTGGCAGGTGTTAAGATGCCCTCAGGCTGTCTTTCTGGGGCAGGGTGGTGGTGCCACCTTCCCATGGGATAGAGGACTGTGTGGGAGGGGGGTCCAGGCTGCTGAGAAATGCAACCCCCTGCATTTCTCTCAAGATCCCTGGCAGAGTGGCCTGGAGTAAGACTCCTGCTCTGAAGCTGCGGTCAATGGAACCAAACAGCTACACTAGTTAAGCATCCCTGAGAGCACTTCTCATGAACTCATGGCTCCTTATGCCTATTAACCCCATGATTTTCCTCCCAGGGCTTTGAAGATTGTTTGGTCTTTGATGAATTAATGGACCAGTTCCATAATGACCTTGGTGAGTGAGGCGGCTGGGGAGGAGCCAGGGCAAAGGAACATCCCTTTGCAGCTGAGGGCAGCTGGATACCCTGCAGGGAGCTGCCAGTGAACTGTTGCTTTCTTCTCCCAGGTGCCTGTCTCCAGGAGTTCTCCAGGCTGAGGGTGCCAGATGACCATGCAATTTCAGATTTAGCCATGTACAACTATGTAGAGGTAGGTGAGCCGCACACAGCCCTGTGGCCCCGTGGGCCATGCACACAGCAGGATTCATTCCTAGGATGCACACAGCGGGCAGGGGCTCTGCCAAGGCTCTGGTTGGGCTCTCACCCTGTCAGACTTCAGCCTCAGAGCTCTGTGGGAATGCCACCAGGGTTGGGAAGGCTCTGCTCCCTGTGTAACCCCTAGGACAGGCAGTGGGAGAGGTAGCAAAGCACACGGGAGCTCTGCCAAGACTCCTTGCAAAAACGCGACTGTTGCTCTGTTGCAGATGCGTGAGCACGTGAATTCAACGTGGTTCATTTTCCGGAAGCACGTAGACAACATTCTCCACAGCCTCATGCCTTCCACCATTGTCCCACTGTACACCATGGTAAGGCTAGCGCCGTGTGCCCACTGCCTGAGCCGCTCTGAGCTCCTCCAGGCTGGCTTAGGGGTTGTGACATGCTCCTGCAACCCTCCCAGGTAACCTTCACCAGGATTCGCTACCATGAGGCACTTCAGCGTTGGAAATGGCAGAAAAAGGTTGGTCAGGGGTGGTGCTCATCCTCCCTAAGCCATGAGCCTGGGGAGCATCCTGCATACCAGCACTGCTCAGCTGCTGAGAGGGAGTGTTGGTGGTGGGATATTGCCAAGTGGGTGCAGATGTGCTGACTTTGCTTGGTGCCACGTGGTAGGAGCAAATCTTTGATGATGTTGGGGTTTCTCTTTGCACTTGCAGGTAATTAATCGAGGGATTGTTGTTGTGGGTGCAGCAGGACTGGGTGGCACCTACCTGCTGATAAAGCGTCTGGCACGGGACTTGGACTTCTCTATGGAAAATTTGTGGAGCTGGTCCCATTATCTGAAGAATATTGGAAATCTTCCCTTTGGCACACGATTGGCTTAAATGTAATGGGAGCTCCCAGTTTTAATAAAAGTGAAGGCATAGGCTGTTGGCTCAGCTGGATGATGTTGTTTCTCTTGGGATGTGGCTTGGCAGCTCCTGCAGTCCCTCTGCCTCCTCTGAAGTGGAGACACAGAGTGCCCAGAGAGCCTCTCCAGAGGCTCAGGTGTGTCTCTGCCTCATCTTGGCAGCTTGGTCTCAAGTGATGCAGTTAGTAAATGTGGTCTTTAAAAGTCATGTAGATGTGGCACTTACGGACATGGTTTAGTGGTGGACCTGGCAGTGCAGGGCTAATGTTTGGACTCAGTGATCTTAGATGCCTTTTCCAACCTTAATGATTCCATGATTCTATGACCTGATTGGGGTGTCCCAGCCCATACTGTGGACTGCTGCTCTTACCAAAACCAAGTCAACATCTTGGGGGAACTTGAGCCCAAAATAGCTACTGGTTGGGATAGTACTGGGAGGAATATTGGAGATAGATACTTTTCTACTTCTTACCTTGCCCTAGACCCTCACAGTCACTGCTGAAGAAGAGCAAAATGGCCCAAGTTAACCCCTGATCTGACACTGCACAGCCACCCTTGTTTGAGGTAGTTTACATACAGCTGCCAGGGGATGGGCAGGGACAAGAACTGCTCAGCATCATTCAGTGAGTCAGTTTTGGCTTGCAGGGGAGCACCTTTCAGGGTGTAAAGGGAAAATCAGTGTAGAAGACAGTTTGTTTCTCTGGCTGGCATCTTTCCTGGGCACTGTACCTACAGGGGATGCTAGCAGCAATAACAGAGTGTGGCTGTAGTTTCTCCAATGAACACTTCAGCTGCTGCCCTTGCACCTAATTCTTAGCAGGACACATATATTTACTTTCTATATTAATCTTTATTCACGTTAAACCCCTCCAGAGAGCGAATGAAGGTGCCAAGCACTACAACTATATGCAAATTAATCCCAAACTGAAAGCAAATAAAGAATTGTCCCACTATTTCACTGGAACAGCCCCACAGTGTGAGAGTAATTGGCTGCCATGCATGGTGAGGGTGAGTGCTGAGCTGGAGATGCTCCCAGTACTGCCAGGTGTTTGCACAGCTGCTTCTTGTCATGTCAGACACGCTTGCAGAGCAGGGAGAAGATCCCACCCTGGGAAGTGCCGGAAGAAGCTGTGATTGAGCTCCAAGCTGCAGGGAATTTTTCAGATGCTCAGTGCCAATATTTCATAGTTCAAACAGTGGCTCCTTTGCCTCCTTGCCATGTGGAGGGCTTGAAGGCATGGCAGAGGTAAGTCAACATGCAGGAGCCCAAGCAGAACCTTGCCTGAGGTAGTCTGAGAGGGAAGCAATGTCGGGAAGCAGCCGATCATTTGGGAAAAGGATTCAGTGCATTTTCTCCAGTTGCTCTTGATCCCTAGGTACAGGTGCTCACTAGCCCTTAGGGCCCATTACATCACTGCAACCTCCAGAGCAGAACACTATCCTGGAGGACCCTCCATGTCCAACTCAGAAGTGAGTGCTTTGGAAACCAGTGCATAGTGGTGGAGACTAGTGCATCAGGGGAAGGCATGGAGCAGCCTGGGAGTAGATCCTGCTAGAGCAGAAGAGAGACAGCAGAGATCAAACTCAAAGCTGGAAGTACTCTGTGCACTCAGCTGGTTTTGGGGCTCAGTGTCCAAGACCCCTGCCAGAGGGCAAAGATAGCATTAGGAGATGAGACAGTCAGTGACCCGTACAGGAGCTGCTGCATGTTCCTGTGGTGAGACCTGCTCCACAGTCCCATCCACAGCAAAGCTGTGTCTGTTCCCTTCCCCCAGTCCCACTAGTTCATTGAACACTGGGCCAGGAGACTGGTATGGTACCATTCCTCAGCCAGCACCTGACATGCTGGTGGCCTCTTGGAAGAAGGGAACAAACCATGAGGATAAAGAGGAGGGAGCCTTAGTTTGAAATTTTCTTAGTTTGAGATTTCCTTAGCTTGGCATTTCCTGATTTAATGGTGGGTCCTCGTGCTGCCAGGCATTGTGCCTCATTCATTAAACCTGGGGTTGACGACGGTGGTGGTGGCACTCTTGAAGAGGGGGTTATCAGCCTAGAGGGAGAGAAGTGAGAGGCTTGTGTTACTGTGCTGTGTTGGATTTTCTGCATAGCGTTACCCACCCATCCCAATGCCAACAGCACAGACAGCATAGGCAGAAGAGCCCACAGGCTGTTTAGCTCCTTGCAACACCCAGTCAGGCTGAAAAACAGGCCAGTGGGGAGGGCTCAGGTCTGCCGTGGCTGCCTCTGGAAAGGTTGTCCCCTCTATTGTCCCCACCCCAGTGTACATGAGCACCCCAGCACCCTCCACTGCCACAGACAGGCTCTTACATCATTCCACTTGGCTTTGGACTTCTCCTTCTCAAACCGACGGAATTCCCGGCGGTCAAACAGCTCTGCCAGGAGCCGCCAGATGAGCAGGACCACCAAGCCAATGAGGACCACGCCGGCAACGGTGCCACCCACAATTAGTGCGACGTTGGGAGGCTTCGGGCACTCTGTTGGGCAGAGAGATAGCGTTGGGATGCAGCTCCTAGTGAGGCCACTGTGGCAGGGCAGGAGGAGTGGGGCCGGGGTACCTTTTTCAGGATCGACAATGACGGTGTATATATCTTCACCGTCCTCTTGGACCATATGGAATGATATCCAGCAGTTCTGGGAGTCCTTCTCCCTGCATTTCCTACTCTCCTCTGTCACCTTTTCGGCTACCCGGATGTTGGGGCAGGCCTGGGAGCAGTTCTTCTCGAAGGGGCCACTCCCGAAGGACTTGCATTCCACACAGGAGCTGCAAAACAGGCAGCCACAGCTCACCACTGCAGGGGCAGAGAGCCTTTCACCTGGCTTTGGCTGCAGCTGGGCTCTGCCCAAGCACAGGCAGAGCCTGCCTGCACCTCTCTGGGATACTGGGGGTCCCTGCTTCCCCTGCACCCTCTCCATGCACAACACTCACATGTATCTGCCACAGGGTGAGGGGCAGCCTGGG